GACGTGTGCTCTTCCGATCTCCCCAAAACCCCAAAACCCCAAGCTTCTATAAATGGAGCTAATTGATAGAAAACATAATTTATTTTATAATTAATTTAGTTTTTAAACTTTGAATGAAGCTCAAACTCTTAATCTTGTTACTACTTTTGAAGATTTCGCTTTAACATATAGTAACTTACACTGTGAGAAATGATAACCCATTCTTTGTCAGTATTTTGAAGCCGTATACATTGCTTGAAGGTCTTATATCACACTAATGCTTGACTGTCAAGTACCAAAATAAGATCATTCCTTATGAAGGTATTTCTGAAAAAAGAGGTTGATTAAATCCTTGATCTTTCTTGTAATTATCTCCTTATGCCTCCTACTAGCTATAAATAGATGTTTCTTTTGCATTTGATTTGACTAAGCTGGGAGAATATGAAGCCATAGTGCCAATTCATGTTGGACATGATGGCGTAATGGCTTGATTAAGTATACCTCAGAATGTTGGAACAAAAAAAGACTAATGCTATCCCATGGAGCCTATAGAAGTATTACAATTAACGAGTCATGCTAGATTTAAAATTACTACTGAGAATATACCTGGGCTTCCTGAGGGACGATTGATGGATGACGAAAGATAAGAGGCTAATGCCGTAGGATAGAGTATAAGGCGATAATACATTGTGACACCAGGTGTTGATGAGTTCGATCCTTCAGATTACCAACATGATGTTTACAAAGCTCTCTAGAACTTAATAACATGGAGGGCAGTCCCACTTTTAGAAAAAAATGTTTTTGCATACAATCCTCTTAGTATTTATTACCTACAAAAGGTATTATATTTACGCAATTTAGATTTTTCAGAAAATATATCAAAACTGGGTTATAACTAATTCGCAGGTGCTGTGGCTCATTAGGTAAGTTAAATTTGCTGTAAGCCTTACCTTTAAAAGGCAGGGATTGTATCCTAGGGGCAGAATTACTGGAATTTATACACATATAATTTCATACTAACAGTTCAAGAAGTTTCCCTATTAGGAATTAATCAATCTCTAATGAGCAATAGTGATGGATCAGTTAGTTTAAGTATTCAGATTTACTGCAAGAAATGTGACACTAACCCATATCTAAGTGATAGGCACATGCATTTTCAGAATCATTAGCATTCCAAACCTTTATCAGCTATGCAAAAATATAATTGGAACATAGTACTATGTTCCCCTATTACTGGTCTAAATTGCAAAAATTTACTGATTCTAACAGTTTCTGATATTTATAAAAGGAAAGCAATTAATTAGACTAAATAGTATATCAGTTCTAGATCTCAATTTGAAGTATCATAAGAGTGATCATGTTTTCATAAATTGATTTTAAAATGTACCTCAAAAATTAATAATGATTTATTTATGCATATTAAGAATAATTTAAAATAATATTTAGTGGGGTTTTGGGGTTTTGGGG